AGGAGGAGGAAAATGCTGGGAGAACCGGAAGTGGATAGGCGGGGCACACCCGTCGCGCTTGCGCAAACACGGTTGTCGGAAAGTGGCGAGCCTGAGGCGAACAATGGCGGAGCTGGGTGAGGCTGATGAAGCTGAGTTGCAGCGCCTGGTGGCCGCCGAACAGCAGAAGGCGCAGTTTACTGCACAGGTGCGGGGGCGGGGAGGGTGAAGGGAAAGGAAGTTTCACCTTCCTTGCTGGTCCTGGGCACGCTCGCAGGTCTGTACACTGGCGGCTCACTGGTGCTCGATCCCGGCTGCATCCCATTCCCCTCACAAAAGACAAGTCATGGCTCTCCTGTCCCTGGTGACTGGTAGTGCTCAGGCGCCGGCTATGTAAGCGTAGCGTGGAGAAAAGAAAAGGTGTAAAGCAGGGAAGAAGATTTGGGCGACGCAAGGGTACGAGAGCCTAGTTAGCCGGCGATATGACTGGGCTGGCATTCAAAAGATCTGGGTTCTCATCCTCCCTCTGCTCCTTGCAGGCCACGTGCCCGTAGAAAAGATACTAATCCACTTTGGGTTTTGGTTTCGCCGTCACCCCACTGCCTCACTGAATTGTGAGGACCATATGCGACAATGTATTTGAAAACGACTAGAACATTATTGGAGGAAGGTGGACTCTGAAGTAGTCGCTGTAGAGTATGGATTAGAACAAGGGTTTGGAGCCCTTCGGACATGGTTCTAACCCGGCCTGACTTCTTGCTGGCTACATGACCTTGGACTACTTAATCACGCCTCTTAAATGGGAGGTGATGACAGCTATCCTTGAGGACCTTAGAGAGAACTGATTTCTTAGTAACCAGCCTCACAAATAGTAAGCTCTTGGGTTATTTTTTTTCCTTGTGGGTGGGAGGAAGAGGGTGCTTGGAGGATGACCAGCAAGAACCCTGGCTAGAAATCTTTGGGCCCTGAACATGCAAATGAAAGTGCACATAATTTCTGTGCCTGTATGTGCATTCTTCTGGGGAGTGGATCCATAACCCCCAAAAGGTTAATGGAATAATTACCTTGTCTAGGGGATAGGTTTGGAATGAGTGCAATAGTTTGGGGAAATTAATTGGTTCCCTAGTTTGTTCACACTGGTGCTAGCTACTTTGGGGAATATAAAAGGTTATTAGTCCTGAGAATGTACAATCTGTAGGGACGAGGATCTGGATCAATATTGGTGACTAATTAGGAAATGAAGAAAGAGAAGAGCCTAAAGTGACTCCGTGGTTGATTTAAAGAATGGTTTTGTCAGGTGTCAAAAAGTGAGAAGTTGATAAACAAGAGTTAGGCCTATCTGCAGACCCAAATGGTTACTCTTTTTCTTTCCTTTTAGGTGCATCACTTCATGGAGTTATGTTGGGATAAATGTGTGGAGAAGCCAGGGAATCGCCTAGACTCTCGCACTGAAAATTGTCTCTCCAGCTGTGTAGACCGCTTCATTGACACCACTCTTGCCATCACCAGTCGGTTTGCCCAGATTGTACAGAAAGGAGGGCAGTAGGCCATCCCCCAGGAGAATGACAGAAGCAAAGGACTTGTTATTAAGCAGACTGTGGGGGAAGGCTGTCAACCCATTGTCAGATCAGCATCAGGCTGTTATCAAGTCTGTTGGTGCTAAAAAGTAAAAGATGAAATGTTAAAAATAAATAAATAAATAAATGAACAAATAAATCAATGAATGATGAATGAATTTTCTTAAATAAACTTTCTCCATAGTCCAAGAACCTTGTAAATTCTCCAGAACTACTTTCTCCAATTAAGAAATTTTCCCCAAATCTTTCCTCCATGGTTCACCTTCTCCTAAATTCATTTTTTTTTTGTTATTTAAAATATTGCATAGTGGAAAGTGGCTGACTCTGAATTTCTAACTATTTTTATTATACCCAACTGAGCGCAAATATTCCATTCCGCTCCTTTGTTATTCTTTTCAATATTCAACATACGTATTACTCATAAAAATGTGACTTCCTGCTTTATTTCCAGTGTAACATGAAATCTACCAGAGAAGTTTCCACAAAACCTACCAGAGAAAATGAAAGCTAGCAGAGACAGAAGATTTTATCTGTTCTTGTGGCTCCCCACCGTCCGCTCGCATCATGTCATTCTGCTTAGCACTTCTGGGCCCATTTCCTTCAAAGCACTTTCCAAGCATGACCTAAGTGATGTATCACAGGCGAGGGGGTGGGACGCCAGGAACTTGAGCTGTAAATGCAGAACTGTTAAACTCAGTTTTGGAGGAAATTAGATTTTAGAGTTGGAAAAGAAATATGGTCCTGATACTAACACCCTGTCTCACTTCAAATGACCAAACCTCCACCTCTCCTCTGACATCTCCTCCGTGAAGACAAAGGGCATATTATGTCCACTGGAAGGGTGACTGAGAAGTGGTTTTTCTAAAGATTATGAAAAGCTATAATCCCCAGTGGGCAGCCACATTAAAGGATGATTTTTTCAAGATTGTCAAAAAAAGAACTGCCACCACTTCATAAACAAAACACACTATACTGGAAAAGCCAGAAATCATTCAAGGACACACATCATATTAAATTGTAATAGTAACACTTGCTATTTGTTAGGTGCCTACTGTGTGCCAAGTGTTGTACATAAAATATTGTTAATCCTTTTCACAACACTCAGAACAGGGTAATGAATCTTCAAAAGTGAAGCCTTTTCCCAAGTCCAGTCTCTGTGACCCCTTTTAGCTTCAACCTAGGAGGATTCTCTCACATAAGAAGGACATCTTTCCGAAAATGCCACTGGGTGAGGAAGAGGCTAAGGGTTAAATAAGGAATTGCACTCACTGAGTGACCTTTTTCAGAATCTCGTGGAAAGGTCTGGAAGGTTCAACTTAGCACAGGTGTGACCACTAGGGAGTGGGACTAGGGGCTGTGTATCCAGAGAGGGGAAGATTTCTGTTTTTAGTGTATAGCCTTCTGTATCACTCACAATTATATTTTATGTAGTGATTTAGCAATTTCAAAATATTATAATGAAGATACAAGTGTAAAGATGCTTTATGACAGGGCACAGTGGCTCACACCTGTAGTCCCAGCACTTTGGAAGGTCAAGGCAGGTGGAAGGTCAAGCTCAGGAGTTCAAGACCAGCCTGGGAAATGTGGTGAAACCCCATCTTTACAAAAAATTAGCCTGGGGCACGCCTGTAGTCTCAGCTACTAGGGAGGCTGAGTGGGGAGAATCGCTTGAGCCCAGGAGGTTGAAGTTGCAGTGAGCTGTGATTGTGCAACTGCACTCCAGCCTTGGGTGGCAGAGCAAGACCCTGTCTCAAACAAACAAACAAAAAATCCTTGATAATCCAGATCCTATTTCCATTTATTACATCTCCTTCCTAGTCTGGCATTCTCTGCAAATTCAAGAAACCATCCTTAAGTTCTTCCTGCAGGCAGGAGTGGGCTCTGTCTAGTTCATCACTGGATCTGCCACATCTGGCAACTGCCCTATACCTAGTCAGTGCTCAGTCATTATTTATTGAATGACTTCTCTACAAGAATTCAAAATTGTCAGTTTTTCTTTTAAAGTTGATACAAAAAGTTGAACATTCTAGACATCTTGGAACTGACATGACATTTCGGTGCATTTGTTTGCAATAGCGTGCAAACTGCTTACCAAAATGACAAAGGCTAATGAGAAAAGAAAACTAGGCAACCTAGTATATCACTGACGTGTTTTTGCTAGGCTAAGGCCAAGGACACGGTGTCAGACTATGGAATGATAACTGCACAGACGTCACCAGGCCCTTCACAGTATAAACACGAGGGGCTCAAAATCACCTGCTCCATGGAGGTCAGGATGACACATGTGGTAAACCAGTGATTTCATGTCAACCAAAGAACATCCCCTGTCACATTAATGTTGTTAATTGGACTTTTATAATATTTTCATTTTATTTTTAAATTTTAGATTTGTAATTGTATAAAAGCCATAAGCTATATTTATAATCTTGTGTGTGCCTATGTTTAAGTAATAATACGAACAAAATACCAAGTCCGTCAAGGAATCAGTTTGAAGAACTACAGTCTCAAATTGTTACTGAAAATACTAAAGCAGACAAAGCCAAGGACAAGAGTCCTATGGCATGTATCTTGAATTATTAATGCACAGTTTGGATATATTTTGTCAATCAGGTAAAAATACACGTAATAGAACTGTTACTCAAGCTGTGCATTTTATCCACAGGATATAATCACAGCTTTATGTGCTGTTTATCAAAATTAAGGCATACAATGTCTTTGGCCTCTTCCTCCTATCAGTGTAGTACTAGAAGTTGTTCATTTAACAGATGTCTACAGAGAGCCCTGTAGGTAGTGGACACTGTTTTAGGAGCTTGGGATCCCAGCCTTGGGAGCTTTCAGTGCACAATTCTTCCAAAGTTCTCCTCAGACCTCCATCAAGTTGTGGCTCTACCTCTGATACTATTTACCAGATTGCACACAGTTTTTATTATCACACATCAATTAATGTAACCAGACAACCAGAAATGAGACATATGCAGTTTCTGCCTTTCTGGAGACTTGAACTCCACTAAGTTGAGCTTCCACTGTGTTTGTGACCTCACTCCTGAGGCTGGGAAGCAGCCAAGCATCCCCACCTCGTGACTTTTCTCCCTGCTCGGCTTCTTTCTCCACAGGCCTAGGAGACTTGTGTAATTTGGCCTGAATTTACGCATGTAATTCATTTGAGTTCTATATACCTCTTCTACCCATTCAATAGATCCTCCCTCTGAGTAACACAGACCCCTCAGCATAAGAGATCTGATTTATGTAGAGAAGTAAGAATGTGTTTTAATTGACATCAAGTTGAAAGGGTAGGAAATAAAATTATATAAAATCTGATTACAGTTATGTGTAATATATGCATGCATTCTGAAAAGATTGAGAGGGAAATTGTTACATTACTATATATATGTTATAAATATATTAACAGTTCCTTGCTTGTTAGTTTTTCCTGTTGAACTTGAACATAATTAAAATGTAATGAAATAACTGAATTTAGTTGACATGACATGTTTAGGTGAACATATGATAGCCTCAAGTTTTCACAACTTTTTAAAATACTCACAAGAAGGTGATCAGGATTGGTCTTAAATTTATAACACAATTGCCCACAAAGTTCTCTTTTCCCTCTTTTTTTTTTTTTTTTGTTATGGGGGTATATGCTTTGCCCAGTGTTTTAGAGTGTTAACTGTTTCTATGATTTATTTAAGAGACAAAAAAATGTTGACAATGATTTTAATTTCATATTCTCTACTTCTCTTAATGCCCTTGAAATACAGTTCATTAGGGCTGGGTGGGATTCAGTTTCCTCTTTATAAGTTTGGTCCTATTTTGGGGAATCAGTATTTCTGTTTTAAAAAGAAAAGAAGTATTAAAGAAGATTATCTCTAATTTACCTTCAGATCTAAAACAGCACATTAAGAACAACTCTGTATGATATACGTATGTGAAAAGGTCTATCAGATGTAAAGGAACTATAAACAATTGAACTTGGAATGATAAATTCATATAAATTTAACAAGGAGTGGAATAATACAGTGGTGACTTAGTTTTGGTTATAAAATAAAAATTATTTAACTTCTGAAACAATGAGCAGTTGATATGTTAAAAAAATTAAGAAATAGTGAACGTTAACATGAATTGTAGAATGTTTTTTCCCCAATATCTCTGTATTCCATTAAGAGACAATGTATTAGCCCGTCACAAATGAACAAATATTGTATGATTCTGCTTATGTGCGGTACCTAGGGTAGTCAGATTCCTAGACAGAAAGAATGGTGGTTGACAACTGGGGAGAGGGAAGAATTTGGAATTATTTTTTAATGAGTAGAGTTTCAGTTTTACAAGATGGAAAGAGTGGATGGTGGTGATGGTAGCACAACAAACATTCACTTAATTCCACTGAACTGTACACTAAATAATGGTTAGGATGTTAAATTTTATGTTATGCGTATTTTGCCACAACTTAAAAGAGAGACAATGTATTATACATTATACAAATATAGGAAAGTCTGTTTTACTTCCACGTATTTATTTAAGTTGGGAGCACCTTTTTTCCTTAATTATAAAAGTCAGATATACAATTGGAAATGTAAAGGCAAATTACTTCTTTACAGATGACATAATGAGAATTCTATAAGGTAGCTGGTGAGAGAATTGATTTTTAAATGGTGAGCATTCTTATAAGTACACGTTATTCAGAAAATGTAATGGAAACGCGAATCTTATATGTAACTTTTAAAATAAAATACTTAGAAATAAAATTAACAAGAACTTATAAAATTTGAGTGAAGGAAAGCTTAAAACTTTACATAAGACATAAAATAAATTTGAATAATTGGAGAGACATGCGTAGTTCTAAATATGAAAACTCCAAGTGTAAAACTGTTGTCTCAAAATCTATAAATTTAATGTACTCCTTTGCAAAAGTAGATAAGTTGATTCCAAAGTGTGTATCAAAGATACATATGTGAGAATACCCAAAAAAGTATTTTAAAAAAGAAAGAAGAGTAATTAAAGAGGATTGGTACCTCTAGTATTAAAATGCATTCTCAAAACTAATTTTAAATGGTTGGTACTGTTGCTAGAGTAGACAAGACAGATGAATGGAATAAAATACAATTCAAA